AAAGCCGAGCTGTGGTGTGGTGTTTCGGGTCTATAGGGTTTATAGGGTATATAGGGTATAGAGGGTTTAGGGTTTAGGGTTTAGGGTTGGAAGCCTAAACCCTATACCTTACTTCTCACTAGGGGCGAACCTCTTCTTGCTCATGGCGCATTACCCAGCTTTCCAGATGGGAGTCGCTGAGAGTGATCATCCCGAACTCATGAAGTTTAGGCTGTAAGCGTTAGGGTCGTTTTTTGTACCCTAATCCCTGAACCCTAAACCCTAAACCCTAAACCCTAAACCCTAAACCCTAAACCCCCAAAAAATCAGGACCGAACCACAGACTGGGGGAGGAGTGGGGGAGGGGGGCGGGGGCGGAGGGGGGGGCTTCCACGCTTTTAAGTATAAGGTTTTCGAGGCCCCACATAAACATCTCACAAGCCCGCAGACGACTTTTTATACCTTCTGACCCTGGGCCCCAAACCATGGACATGGTGGTAGAAGTTCGTGTATACCAAGCCCCTCCTCGAAACAGCTGCTCCCTGAGAAGGTTTCGGGGGAAATAGTTCCCTGAACTCGTACAAAGTACCTGAACCGCCCCTGAGCGGCCCCCCAGGGTTTCGGGCTTAGGCTGTAACCTTCCCCCCAAATCCCCAGAAGTGAAACAGGAGCTGGCAGAGCATTCGGCAGAGCATGCGGTAGAGCATGCGGCAGAGCATGTGGCAGAGCATGCGGCAGAGCATCCAGGCCCTGCGGCCCCTTTGCTTGTGCACACGCTACACCGGACTTTAGACGTAGGGTAAGGGTGAGGGTTGCGGCTTGGAGGTACCTTTTATAGGACGCAGGGGTCTTTGCGGTTAGGGGTATGGGCTGCTCCTTTCTTTAAGCGGAGGAGGCTCCTGGTGTGTTTGTGAACGTTGGGATTTGTTTAGGGTGCTTCTCTTGACTTTCTCTTTGTGGTGCTTTACTGTAACTTTAGATCCTTAGCCTTTTTCTGTTTTTTGGGTTTCTTAACAAGGCAACCAAAAAAATGATTTATGGCTACCCTTCTGAGCGCAGCCAATTTCCATTGTAGTTCCCGAAAGGCAACTAGCTAGGACCCGGAGTAGATCCTTATACCCTTTTTTTGCGAGGAGTTGGCTTCCCTTAGAAGCCCCTTTAAACCCAAAAGCGCACCCACATTTTATTCCTGGGTTCCGCTTGGGCCTGGTTAGGATCTGGTACAGCGACAGCGCTGGGTGAGAATCGTCTCTTTTTTAACCTTCGGTTTCTTGTAATGATGTAACGTTGTACCGGCTTTTACAACATTACCCGCCATGATGTGTAGTGCAAAGTGTTATTCAGCGGCGCCACCCTAAACCCTAAACGAAAAGCCTTAAAACCCAAAACTTCCAAAACCCCCCAACTTGGGATGATCCCCCTTATACTGAAAGTCCTTAAATAGGGATTATAGCACACACGCTGAGTATACCCGTGCACAGCAGAAGCAGTGCGGCGAGTACAAGTCCGAATCCGTGGTCTGATCGCCGATGTTCGGATCAAGCTCAACCCCTAAGGGGTCTCGCCAAATCTACCATGGCACGTATTCACCAGCATCCTCTGCGAGTACAGAGCTGAGCACGACGGTTTGGGCAAGCTGAGACGCTCGGGCATCAACACTCGCCTCTCTCTGAGGAGGCATCTCGGCCTCCACTAGGCACACTCGTTTAGGCCGTCAGCGTTCAACCCGTGAGTTTCAACACCTAAAAGGACACCCCCCCCCCCCCCCCCCCCCCCCCCCCGATACTCGTACGAAGGGACACCCCCCAAACCCGTCAAATCAATACCCTCGCAAATCAAACCAACCTTTCAGGTTGAAAGCTGTCAATGACGTCCTACCTACGGTTCGTACCTACTATAGCCCCTAAGTATTAAGGACTGTTGGTATAAGGGGGGGGGAACATCCTAAACCCCCAAACGCCAAAGCTAGACCCTAAGCCAAGACCCCAGTGATGATGCCGCCGCCCTGCGACCATTCATAGGGTTCTTAAGGGAGGGGTTTAGGGTTTAGGGTTTAGGGTTTAGGGTTTTAGGGTTTTAGGGCGGTTCATGGGGGGTGGGCACCTAGGAAACCTTGCAAAAGCTTAGGGAGCCTTAGGGAGTAGTAGGGAACCTTGGGTTGCATAGCCCCCTTGAACCCCCCCCCCCCCCCTCCCTCAAGAACCCTATCAAGCCATGGTGTGGCAGGTCACCACGGACCTGAGTCGCACGAGGAGGCAGGGAGTAACCTCAGTGAGTTGAAGGATTTTGAGCTCGGGGTTCGGGGTTCGGGGAGCAGGGGTGCAGGGTTTGTGTTTTGGTTCAGCCCTATACTTGTTTTCGGCCTAAACCCTACCCTATGAACTTCACTATGAACTTAACTTTCTCTGTAGACATTCGCAGGAGGAGGCAGAGGAGTGGACGCGCGTCGACATCAGCTGCAGCTTCATGCGGCTTGGCAAAGGTAGTATGTGGGGTTTAGGGTTAGGGTTCAGCCCCCTAAACCCTGAACCCTGAACCCTGAACCCTGAACCCTAAACCCTAAACCCTAAACCCTAAACCCTAAACCCTAAACCCTAAACCCTAAACCCTAAACCCTAAACCCTAAACCCTAAACCCTAACCCTAAACCCTAAACCCTAAACCCTAAACCCTAAACCCTAAACCCTAAACCCTAAACCCTAAACCTTACCACCAGACCCTAAGGCCTCCAGAATGGAGGTCCTTCTTGCTCCTGAACCCGAGATCCTAAACCCTAAACAGAAACCGCTGGCCCCATCCCTGTCTTAGGGAAGTTTAGGGTTCTTAGCCTTTTGGGGCTTTCAGGACTGATGAAACCCTAATTAAGTTGGGGGGAAGGGGTTTAGGGTTGAGGGTTGAGGGTTTTAGGGTTTAGGGGTCTCCCCACCTCCCTTCAAGCAGGTACATGTAAGAGTCCGAGACTTAAAGCAGGCGGGAATTGGCGATGGCCAGTTGTACGTTTGTTCCCCTCTGTGTATCTGTTGTGGCGATGGGGGGGCCCGTTTGTGAACCCCATTCTACAAAAAAACTGTTTAGGATTGAGGGTTAGGGATATAGGAAGTAGGGTTTCGGGGCTTAGTGTTTAGGGTTTATGGGCTGCCCCCTTTTTTTTTTTGTTTGGGGGGGGGGGGGGGGTATTGTTGCGCCAGTGAGTCCTTGTACCCTTACGCACTTGTGAGGGCTTTGGACCCATCAGAAGTACGGCATAGGGGTTGTAGGGTCTAAGGTTCAGGGCATGGGGCACGATACGTCCCGGGTGTGGGGTTTAGGGTTTAGGGTTTAGGGTTTAGGGTTTAGGGTTTAGGGTTTAGGGTTTAGGGTTTAGGGTTTAGGATGTTTTGGCCCAATGAGTTCGCCTCGTTCAAAGGATCCTCGGGATGTTCTTCTTCATCATTGCCACACGGATGAGTGGAGACTTTTAGGGTTTAGGGTTTAGGGTCTAGGGTTAGGGTTTAGGGTTTAGGGTCTAGGGTTTAGGGTTTAGGGTTTAAGGGTTTAGGGTTTAAATTAGGGTTTAGGGTTGGACCTTTAAGCCTAAAGCCCTAAACCCCACACCTTGAAGTCTTTTCGCCTCGGAGAGCTCTGCCAACTCTGAAATGATAAAAAAGATCTTTCTCAGGCCTAGGTTAGGAAGGAAGGCCCTTGGGACATCTTATGTTTTCCCTTACAGGGTTGAAGAGGCTCCCTAAACCCTAAACCCTAAACCCTAAACCCTAAACCCTAAACCCTGAACCCTAAACCCAAAACCCTAAACCCTAAACCCTAAATCAGAGGGTTTTAAGGGCCATCCTAGGTTAGGAGGGAAGGCCGCTTCGGTTTTCAACTTCGGGGCACTCGCGTTGGGCCCTCATCTGTATCCCCTTTGCGCGGACGAAGATCTGCATACCAATATATATGTGTGTATATATATGTGTATATATATGTGTGTGTATATATATATGTATATACATATTTATTTATTTATTTTTTATTTACTTGTTTTTTACATATTTATTTATTGATTATATTTATATACGGAAACTGTACGTGTGTACATGCATGCAGACATGCATGTAAACACATTTGTCTAATGCTGCAGCTCCTGGTGAAAAACCTCCGAAAGGGTCTGTGACTTGGAGACACTTAGCGCTCAGACTCTGCTCTGCTCTGCCCACACACTGAAGTCCTAAACCCGAAACCCTAAAGCGTAAACCCTAAACCCTAATTCAACCCTAAACCCTAAACCCTAAACCCTAAAGCTAAAGGGCTCTTGCCTCCATGTGGGGAAGCCTTGAGCTCAAGCACAGGGCTTGGCCTCTTCCAAGAGCGACCTCTCGACCCTTAAACAAAAAAGAGCTGAATTAGTTAGGATCTAGGATTTAGGGTTTAGGGTTTATGGTTTGGGGTTTGGGGTTTGGGGTTTGGGGTTCAGGGTTTAGGTTCTAGCGTTTCGTGTAACCTGGTCACATGCCCTTAAAGAATGAAAGTATGCCTTTAACTGTTGGTAGAACAGTATAACCCTTTGGTCAGGATATAGAGGTTGCTCTAGGTAAATCCTTGGCCCTTTGAAGGCACATGTTGCGATTCGAAAGCCACCCTAAAGTTAAATCCCTACATCCCTAAAGCCTGAACTGTTTAACTGAGTCCATCTTCTACATGGTGAACTACCCAGATGACGACGTCAAGCCCCGACCCCGGCGGTGGGGCGTTTCGGTGCTTGGAAACCCTGAACCCTGAACCCTGAACCCTAAACCCTAAACCCTAAACCCTAAACCCTAAACCCTAAACCCTAAACCCTACCTCATTCCCTCCTTCCCTCCTTCCCTACTAAGAGCCAGGAATCGGTGAGCGCTGTCTGCCTTGGTCTTTGGGTTTCTAGGGCTCAGGGGTATGGTCTTCGAGACTTCCCCCTCGCCCCCTCAGATCTTCGGGTGCCCCCTAAACCCTAAACCCTAAACCCTAAACCCTAAACCCTAAACCCTAAACCCTAAACCCTAAATGCATATGGTTTCGTCGCGTATCTGTGGGGCTCGAAGCTCGACGGGGAGTGGAGTGCGCGATGGGGAGTTGAGCAAGCTCCCTATAAATCCTGTCGGACCTATAAACCCCGTAAACCACAACACCCGATAAACACCCCAACACCCTGCAATAATCCCTAAAAATCCTAAACCCTATAAACCCCATAAACCCGTTCAATCCTAAACCCTCCCCAGGCGCTACTCTTGGTCCATCATCAACACGACGGTGTCCATCTTCAGCGCACGAGTCCCAGGGGATTACACAAAATCTTAGGGTTTAGGGTTCAGGGTTTAAGGTTTAGGGTTTAGGGTTTAGGGTTTAAGGTTTTGGTTTTAGGGTTGAGCTTATTTCCCGTGGAGTGCGCAAACTCGGCAGGATGCCACCTGAAATTTGATTTCGAAGGGGAGCGTACGTGCTGGACAATTATCCGAAGATCCCTTCTTGCAATCCTCAACCCGAAGTTGTTTAGGGTTTAAAGTTTAGGGTTTAGGGTTTAGGGTTTAGGGTTTAGGGTTGTTTGTGGTGAGAGTTGAGTTGGGTTTGAGGTGCTTATAGCTGTTCGTGCTTGCGCGTATTCTTGCAGGCCGTCATGATCTTCAACGGTGTTGACGAGGCCAGCCTTTGCTGTTGCGAGCATTTGCGTGGATTTAGAGTCACCTACGGCTTCTCTCAAGCTGGCCTCATGTGCAAATCCAATCTCTGCACAGCGCTGCGCTGGCCGCTCGTGATCTGTATTTCCAATGTCGCGCCGTGTGATGGCCTGTCGCACCTTCTGGGTCTAAACCCTCAACCCAAAACCCTAAACTCTAAAGTCAATGTTCATGGGTGTAGGGTTTCGGCTGTGGGGCGATATGCAGGTCGGCCTCTTTCTCTTCGTGAACCCCCTGCTGGGAGAAGCTTGTTGGCGACACGGTTTGGGCGTATCCCTTGACCTGACCTAGCTAAACCCTAAACCCTAGTAACTAAGACCCGGAAAAAGGCCGATGTTTCCTTGTTCCATGGGCCAGGTTCCCTGGGATCGAGGTTAGCACCCGCGGAGTTTTCAAGATGCCGGCCACACGAAACGCAAAATCTGGCTCTAGGCGTGTCCTGCACTCTTGTCCGGCAAGAACCCCCTCCGCCCCATCCCGACAAAGAACTAAGTTAACAAAAAGAAGACCCTAAACCCCAAACCCTCCCGAATGCTGTCAAGCCTTTGGGGTTTACCTTCCTGAGCCCGCTTCCTACGAACCCTAGAAGGTGCAAAGGTGCCTCACCCCAACCCCTAAAGGCCCCAAACCCTAGACCCTAAGCCCTAAACCTTTCGGCAAACCCTATACGGTACGCCGTACACTTTCGCTAAACCCTCTACACCCTAAACCTTAAACCCTATAACCCGAAACCCCTCAAAACCCGAAACTCACAGCCCCGCCCGCCGTTGAGGCTTGTGCGGCTTCTTGCACTTGCTCTGAATTCGTTTAAGGTTTAGGGTTTAGGGTTTAGGGTTTAGGGGTTAGGGGGGGAGACGAGGAAAGACCCTCGAAGGGACTCTAATTCCTACTGCCTCGCATCCCCCCCTGCCCGCCAAATTTGCACTTCTTCGGCATACATATATATATATATATATATTTATTTATATCCTTTTTTTATTTATTTATTCATACACATATAAACTGTATGTGTTTTTTGTTTACTTACCTATATTGACACACCCTAAACCATAAACTCTAAACCCAATCAGCCCTAAGCTACACAAAGTCCACAAACACCAGACCCGCAGGTCCCTTTGTGAGGGTTCCTCAGGGTCTGGGAGTATGGTGGGGCTAAGGCAACATTTTTCCTTGGGAAACCCAATTTCGGTTTAGGGTTTAGGGATTTAGAATCAGGTTTAGGGTTGAGTTAAGTAAGTTTTAGGGTTTAGGGTTAAAGTTTGGGGAGTTTTCGGCTTGTCATTTTTTATACGCATGCCCAAGGAGTTTCCTCAAGGGTGGCGGCAAGTGGCCCGTGGCCCGTCTCAATTCATCAGGGTTTAAGGTTGAAGGTTTGGTGCCATTCTGTTGAGGGCTCAGGACTCTAGGAGTGAGAGCTCGGCTAGTAGAACTCCATAGGGTTTCCTTTTGGCCTGAAACAAGAAAAAAAGTGCGGATGGGGTAGGGCTACAAACCTTACATGCATGTTCGGAGTTTGCCTCATCTATCGTTTTGCGCAGCGCTCTTAAACGTGCTTGGCCTCCTGCACGGCTGAAGTCAACTTCCCAGAGGCCCAAGTATCCCTCAGCTAGGCAGTAATTCCTCATGGGTTTAGGGTTTAGGGTTTAGGGTTTAGGGCTTAGGGTTTAGGGTTTAGGGTTTAGGGTTTAGGGCAACAACCCTAAACCCGGAACCTCACGGGGTCTGTTGGAGTCTCCAGGTTCTCTGCTGCTCATGTCTGGCGAAGTTAGCTCACGAAACCCAAAATAGATGAGGCCAAACTTGGGGCCCAAAATCAAAAACCCAAAGCCCTAAACCGTTAACCCTGAAGCCGGAACATATGAGTCCTTGAAAACGTGTGGTCGGGTTAAATTACCTGATCCTGTCCCGGCCCAACATGCCCAATAAACCAATAGAATCACAGGGACCCTTGCCTGGAGGTTCGGGTTCGTGCAACCCAATTATGAGTGTTATAGTCATAACCGGTCAGAACCCACGCATAAGCCCCTGAAGTACCCTAATCTGGCATGGCTGGGTTAGACGTGCAACAATTGGGTGAATACGTACCATGAACCTCCAAGTAGTAACCTGTAGACTCTTCAAGAACAGGGACATGTGCAGCTGAAATATTTTGGGGTTTAACTCCTAATAGGGAAATGTGCCTTAGATATTGGTAGATGACTTTCGTTTCAGGATATGCGGGTTACTCTAGGTCTACAGGTTTGCTTGTCAGGGAGAATTTTCGAAACCCTAAACCCCAAACCCTAAACCCTAAACCCTAAACCCTAAACACCTTTTTGGGTGCGCAGGGTTGGTGGAGCACACGTTGACGGGATCATGATTTCTTGGTGGCGGGCTTTAGTTTTCCTGCCGTTGCGAGTCTTCGCATCATAGTAGGGATTTGTGTTGTAGGTACCCTATATCCCCTAAACCCGAAACCCTAAACCCGACTAAACCCTAAACCTTAACCCTAAGCCCTAAACCCTAAACCCTAAACCTTAAACCCTAACTCCCCTTTAAGGGGTTGCATGGAGCCCCCAGTTCCCTGACTCCCGAATTTCCAGCACGATTTCCAGGCGTCATCGTCGGCTACCTTGTCTTCCTCGCTTGGTGTTTCGGCACTCAGAAGCCGTTTGGGTTTCTTTTGGGGGAGGATCTAGGGAGTAGGGTCTAGGGTCTGGGTCTGGGGTTTAGGGTTTAGGGTTTAGGGTTTAGGGTTTATAGGCCCTTAGCCCAAACAGTTTAAGTACCCCAAGCCCGAAGCTTAAACCCTAAACCCTCAAAAGTCCAAATGCCCCTTACACCCGAAACAACCTAACCAGCTGAAGGACGCAACCCCAAACACCGAAGCTTAAGAACAGCCGTACTACAAGCCCAGAATCCTGAGCCTTATCTTAGCGACAAGGCTACTAAGGCCTTCAACATGGGCTCCCGGGCCTTACGAGCCAAGGTTCACGGTTGCCCACATCATGATCGCCACTTGGCGTGCAGAGTGGCGACTGGCAGGTAAGCGCCAGCCTCCCATTGCTTGGCCCCCTCCGAAACGCAATGCCCTAAACTCTGCATCCCAAAGCAAAGAGCCACCCCCCACTCCCCCGTGCATCCCAAACCACTATACTGTACTACTAATTATACCCCTATTGGAAGGCAGGGTTTCCTGTTTGGGGCTTAGGGTTCGTGGGTTGGTACGGCTCAGAGTATCTTTACACGAGCGACCATGAGTTGGTGTTAGTGCTTCAGAACTTGGGGCCAACTGGCAAAACCCCCCTTCCCCCCACCCGTCTCTAAACCCACAACCCCCCCCCCCCCCCCCCTAAACCCTAAACCCCAACTGCTAAACCCCTAAGCCCTAAGCCTTAGACCCTAAACCCTATCCCTTTTCCTGTGCTGGATACTTGGAGGTTCATGGGTACTTATAACCCCACTTATAAGTCTACTATATAACCTACTTAGGGGACTTGGGGGGGTTTACAAGTACCGTTATAATTGGGGTTATAAGTGCCCATGAATTTCCAAGTACAGAACACTCCGCCCAAGGCCTACGTCTCCAATGCCTTGAAGAGGCCTAGAAAGCTTCGGGAAGTCAGGGATGGGTTTAGGGTTTCGGGTTTAGGGTTTAGGGTTCAGGGTTCAGGGTTGAGGGGTTAGGGTTGGGGTTTAGAGTTACCTTAACCCCTATAAGCCCTAGAGATAGGGATCTGTTGGCGAAGTTTGTTTCGGATGAGTTACCTTCAAACCTCGGGTCGGGGTTAGGGTTTGAGTCTGGCGTTTTCGAGCACTCTTCAGGTTTAGGGTTTAGGAAACTAGGGCTTCCGCACATGAATCCCAACAAAAAGCTTGTTCGGAGGTTCGGACGTTGCCTTGATTTCGGGAATAATCGTCCCAAGGCCCCCAAGCCCTCATTAAACTTCAGCTACCAAGCCCTCAACCCTAATTCCCTTGAACCCTTAAGCCTTTAAACCGCCCTTGAAGCCCTAAACCTTAAACCCTAGACCCTAAACCCTAAGCCGAAACCCTACACCCTAGACCCTACACCCTACACCCGACTCGGGAGCCCAGGCAAGGATTCGAGGGCGAGCTGGAAGAAGGAGAGACGCACCTCGGTAGTTCATCGGTAGTTGGGTTGCTTTGAATATATCTGTTCATCTATCCATCTATCTATTATTATTACTTTTTTTGTTATTCTTATTATCCTTATTATCCTTATTATTCTTATTATTCTTATTATTCTTATTATTCTTATTATTCTTATTATTCTTATTATTCTTATTATTCTTATTATTCTTATTATTCTTATTATTCTTATTATTCTTATTATTCTTATTATTCTTATTATTCTTATTATTCTTATTCTATTCTTATTGTTCTTATTAGTCTTTTTTCATTTATTCATTATTAGTATCATTATTATTGTGACTATTTATATTGATATTATCATGATTACTAGATCATCGTATATACCTATGTATGTATATATATATATGTACACAATAGGTTATGATTGAGAAACCCACCCTAGGGGTTTCAAGGGTTTCTAGGGTTTCTAGGGTTTCTAGGGTTTCTAGGGTTTCTCGGGTTTCCAGGGTTTCTGGGGTGTCTAGGGTTTCTAGGGTTTCTAGGGTTTCTAGGGTTTCTAGGGTTTCTAGGGTTTCTAGGGTTTCTAGGGTTTCTAGGGTTTCTAGGGTTTCTAGGGTTTCCGGGATGTTCAGGTTGTTTAGGTTATTTAGGGCTTCTAGGGTGTTTGGGAAGTTTCGACCCTAAGGCTTCTGGGGTGTAGAGCGTAGGGTTTCAGGTTTAGGGTTGAGGTTTGGGGTATAGGGTTTAGGGGTTCAGGATTTAAGGGCAGTCGGGCATTCATCACTGGGGCAAAGGGCAGGGCGATAGGACGATAAGGTACGAGGGCGGGGTTTAGGGTTTTAGGGCTTGAGAGTTTAGGGTTTTAGGGTTTTGCGGTTTCAGGATTTCAGGGCTTCAGGTTTGTCCAATACACTGGAGGATTTACTTGCGAGTAATCCTTCAAGTCACAGTCGGGCTTCGATGATATTTCAACGAATACTAATCAGCTGCAGTAAACGACGCTTGTAGTTTCATTGACCCTTAATCTAGTCCCTTACCTCCTTTACAGGGTTCTGATGTAAAAGCCCTTAATTTGTGTAGGGTATATAAGGTTGCTTACCCTAGGAGGTTATGGAGTGAGGCTACATGTGCCGTATTACTGCTTAGAAGGGTGCACTCCAAACCAAACCCTCTCCTATATGAGTACTCACACCATCATAGTACTCCAGAAGAGGTTCCCCAGTAACATGAAAAGAGCGTTGTTTCGCGGACGGGAGGGTGTAAAAGGGCCTGAAACATGAGACTGAGAGTACTACTGGGCATCCAAGCAAACACAACCCTGTTGCAAAGCCAAACCCTTAAACTCTGTAACCCTGAACCCCTAGAGCGCAAGACCCTAAACACAAGACCACAAATCCTACACCTTAGACCCTAAACCCTAAAACCCAAAACCTAAACCCTGAACCCTAAACCCTAAACCCTAAACCTTTACACCCTACCTAAAACCTAGTGGCTGGGGTAGCCCGGACGCCCAGGCAGGGGCGTTCCTGGGTCGTCAATGATACGGTCCGAGGCATCTTCGGCCACAGGGGTTTAGGGGTTTAGGGGTTTAGGGTTTAGGGTTTAGGGTTTAGGGTTTAGGGTTTAGGGTTTAGGATTCAGGGTTTAGGGTTTAGGGTTTCGGGTTTAGGGGGTTTCGGGCGAACCCCAGACCCTGAACCCTGAACCTTCCAGGGTTTTTGCGTCTTAAGGGACCGGGGGTTTAGGGTTTAGGGTTTAGGGTTTAGGGATTAGGGTTTAGGGTATGGTGGAGGGGTTCGGGCTTGTAGGCCAAATGGGGTCGAAGGCCTGGGGTTTAGGGTGAACTGATGCTGCAAGTCTTGGGCCCCCCAAGACCATAGTCGGTTTAGGGCTTACGGGGTTTAGCCCTAAACCCTGAACTCCCAAACCCTCAACCCTGAACCTTCAGGTTAAGGGCTTAGGGAGCTTTAGGGGTTCAGGGGGTTTAGGGGGCTTTAGGGGGCTTTCGGGGACTTTAGGGAACTTTCGGTGACTTTAGGGGACTTTAGAGGACTTTAGGGGACTCTAGGGGACTCTAGGGGACTTTAGGGTTTAGGGTCGGGCCCGTGGAACCTGAAATCAACCAGCCGAGCCAGGGAGCACGAATCAACGATTCAAAGGCCCTAAGTCCTTGCGTCCCGGTCGAGGGGTTTAGGGCTTAGGGCTTAGGGCTTAGGGCTTAGGGCTTAGGGCTTAGGGTTTAGGGTTTAGGGTTTAGGGTTTAGGGTTTAGGGTGTAGGATACCTTGAAAACCTCTTCAAACAAAGCAAAGGCACCCATTTTGTTCTGAGACTGCTGGGCAACCTTGCTGAGGCCGAAAGAAGGCCTTGCACCCAAAACCCTGAACCCTAAACCCTAAACCCTAGACCCTAAACCCGAAACCCTAAACCCTAAACCCTAAACCCTAAACCCTAAACCCGAAACCCTAAACCCTAAACCCTAAACCCTGTGTCTGCCGAAGGCGACAACGGCCAGCCAGTAGCGTGGGCCTCGGCAAGGGATGGGCTTTGGTTGAGGGTTTAGGGTTTAGGGTTTAGGGTTTAGGGTTTGGGGTTTGGGGTTTGGGGTTTAGGGTTACTTAACCCTAGACCCTACAAAAAATCCCTGCGACTGAGGAACCTGGACCCTTAAGACCCCCTAAGGCCCTGAACCTTCAACCCTGAATCCTAAACCCTTTACCCCATAAGCCCTAACCTGAAACCCGAACCATGAAAGCCCCTAAGCCCTGTAAGATGCTCAAAATTCTCGGGTTCAGCCGCGGGCGGTTCAGGCCTTGAGGGTTTTGGGTTTTGGGTTTTGGGTTTTGGGTTTAGGGTTTAGGATTGAGGGTGTAGGGACAGGCCAAACAAATAATACTCCCTATACCACCACTACATCTGTAACTTCGAGAAAGCCCTCTCTCAAACTCTGTAATGCTTAAATCCTGAACACTAAACCCCAAACCCTAAACCCTAAACCCTAAACCCTAAACCCTAAACCCTAAACCCTAAACCCCAAGCCCTAAACCCTAAACCCTAAACCCTAAACCCCAACCCCCCTTCCCCCCCACCCCAAGGAGCCCACCCTCGTCCGGCCGGGCGGCCGCGAGAAGAGCGTGGCCATTGTCGGCAATGTGGAGGTCTTTGTCATGACCAAGGCCCCTGTTTAGGGTTTAGGGTTTAGGGTTTAGGGTTTAGGGTTTACGGTTTAGGGTTTAGGGTTAGGGGTTTAGGGTTTAGGGTTTCGGGTTTAGGGTTTAGGGTTTAATTAGGGTTTAGGGTTTGGGCAGAACCCCTGATCGAACTGATTATTGCGATTTTTTTTGGAATTAATAAACATTATGGCCGATCGCCTTCAGGGAATGCCTTGTAGCTCAGCCCATCTCCAGAGGCCTGGACAAGTACATGGGGTTGTCAAAATGAAAAAGATTATTGCGCGCCGTGTTTTTAGACTCTCGCCTTCATGATTGACTAGGCTCTCTAATCAATGGTTTAGGGTTTAAGGTTGCGGGTTTAGGGTTTAGGGTTTAAGGTTGAGGGTTTAAGGTTGAGGGTTTAAAGTTGAGGGTTTAAGGTTTAGGGTTTAAGGTTGAGGGTTTAGGGTTTAGGGTTCAGGGTATTGGCCAGGCTGGAACCCTCTTCGGCAGATCAGAAATCCGAGATGCACCGATCACCTGGAGTAGAGGCCAAAAAGTTGGAAGCTCAACAATCCCTAAGAGTAAAGTATAGGGAAATCCAGCACTATTTGTCCTTAAAAAGGTTTCCAACTTTTTTGGGTTGTTTTTCTGTAGCCTCAAACAATGCTTCCTGGGGGGGGGGGGGGGGGTAGCCCACGGACTACCGAGAACGCAACAATAACAGGGGTGGCAAGAAGAAGTTCGAGGCATCCCACTCGAAAGCCGTTTGGAACACGCCCTAAACCCTTAACCCTCTTAACGTCCTACCCCCCTAAGCCCCCGAAACCGCCCAAACCCTAAACCCTAAACCCTAAACCCCAATCCCTAAACCCCAATCCCTAAACCCCAATCCCCAAACCCCAATCCCTAAACCCCAATCCCTAAACCCTAAACCCTAAACCTTAAATCCTAAGCCCTAAACCTTAAATCCTAAACCCTAAACCCTAAACCCTAAACCCCCTCAAGCCCTGTCTTCTGAACCTTGCTGCCAGGATTTGGCCAAGCAAGGCTTCGAGCAACTTTGCGCTGCAAACGTCCTGTCAAGGGTTTGAAGGGGTTCAGGGTTTAGGGTCTAGGGTTTGGGGTTTAGGGGTTAGGGTGTACGGTTTGGGGTTTAGGGTTTTAGGGTTTAGGGTTCAGGGTTTCGGTTTTCGGGTTTAGGGTTTAGGTTTTAGGGTTTAGGGTTTGTGGTTTAGGCTTATTTTAGGTTTCAGGGTTTGGGGCTTAGAAGCATCCAGGTTTTATGGCTGTCCACTGCCGCAGTGGAGGCTTGGGCTGTTGCAGTTGCCCGGAGTTTTTTTTCGGTTTAGGATTCAGCGTTTAGGGTGCATGGTTTAGGACCCTCATCCCTGATTCGTAACTTTCAATACCCTAAACCCTAAACCCTAAACCCTAAACCTCCTAATTCACCCCATTACCATCAACTGCGCCCTTGTGCGCCCCCGCGCCTAGGATTGAAGAGCCCTGAACCCCGGATGTACCAGGTGTGCTTCAAGCCCTACACTAAACCCCCTAAGCCCTAAACCCCTACTTGGAGGTTCAGAGTAGGTTCAGAGTACTTACGACCCAACTTTAAGTGTAGTTCTAAGCACACCAATCAGGTCATGATTGGGTTTTTGAGTACAGTTCTAGTTGGGTTCCTACGTGCCCAAGCAAGAAAGGCAGCGGACCAAGTGCTGGTCCATGCTGTACGCGCACATGGCAGGCCATGGGAACCCTACTCTTCGGATCGGCCTTAAGATCGTGGAGTTTAGGGCTTCTCGGCTTTGGGGTTTAGGGTTTAGGCTGCTTCTCGGTTTTAGGGGAACCCATAAAAACTGCTTGTACATGGGGGGTTTCTGAAAATGGGGGGGGGGGGGGGGGGGGGGTGCCCTTTGTGGGGTTCCATTTAAGAGGGTTTGTAGCATTTGGGGGTATATAAGGGGTACCCCCCATTTTCGGAAATCCCTAAACGGGGGCCCAGGTACAGTTCAGGGTTTTGTGTGTGTGTATGAAAGGCAGAGTGATCGCCTACTTGCTTGTTCTTTTGTTTTTTGGCGGGGTGACGGCGAAACCCTACACCGCTGCCCTGATGATGTGACCAGGCCTAACTAAATCACATTGCTTCTACAAAACATTGCTTCTACAAAAGGCTGTATGAGTTTAGGGTTTAGGGTTTAGGGTTTAGGGTTTATAGGGTTTAGGGGTTATAGGGTCAATAGGGTTTAGGGTTTATAGGCATTAGGGTTTCGGGTTAAGGCTTAGGGTTTCGGGTTTCGGGTTTGGGGTTCTCTTTGCTGCGGGAGTGAAGCACCCGCGCTGCAGCACAGGATTCGCCATGATCAGCGCAGGAGTCGCTCTCAGCTCTCTGTGGTGGTTTTGGGGTTCCAGGGTTTTGGGATTTCATCCGATAGGGCTTAGGGTTAAGGGGTTAGGGTTTTAGGGATTTAGGGATTCAGGGTCTAAGCCTGTTTCCAGGGTTTAGGGGTTTGGGGTTTAGCGTTTCGGATTTGGTTCTGGGTTTAGGGATTTAGGGTTAAACACCTGGGCCCTAAACCCTAAACCCCAAAGAGGCACAGTTGATTTCGAATCCCGTGGCCTGAGCCCCGCCGTTTAAGGACACAGTTTAGGCTTTCGGAGTCCCTGGTATATTGTATTCCTACTATATTCTTGGGGATCCCTATTTGGGGTTCTCAGTAAAGTCCCTTGAATTAGGGCTCAGGGATGTTTAGGGGCTAGGTCCAGCAAACTTGTTTGTGAGTTTAGGGGCTTAGGGCTTAGGGTTTAGGGTTTAGGGCTTAGGGTTTAGGAAGAGGCTTTCGTTGGAAGCTTTTCAGCAGAGAGTTGTTGAGGGGAGGGGGCCCTGTTTATGCCGCAAGCTTTCTTTCCAATGGGGCTTGGCAAGAGAGGCTGCACCAAACAGCCCTGAAACACTAAACCAAACCCTAACGCAACGGTCCTCCGAACATTCAGGGACTACTTACTGTAGGTATTTAGGGTAGTGGTAGGGTCTACATGGTGGTATACGGGGGCCACTTTGGATACAAAAGCAGTAAGCAGTACTATCTGCGATGCAGATTTGCATAGTCATGTTTACACGGCTAACAAGTACAGGGTAGTAGGAAGCAAGGACCTGGTGGGGGTGCCCGCCCCCTCCCTTCCCCCCGACCCCGTAAACCCCAACCCCCAAACCCCAAACCCTAAACCCTAAACCCTAAACCCTAAACCCTAAACCCTAAACCCTAAACCCTAAACCCTAAACCCCCCCTTCAGCAGCCCTGAACCAGGAAGCCGGACACTCTCGGAGCCGCCTTGCTTCTGGGGTTCGGGGTTGAGGGTTTAAACAGCCCGAAAGCCCTTGAACCCTAAAACCCTATAGCCCTAAACCCTAAACCCTAAACCCTAAACCCTAAACCCTAAAACCCTAAAACCCTAAACCCTAAACCCTAAACCCTAAACCCTAAACCCTAAACCCTAAACCCAAAACCCAAACCAACAGTAAGAAAGAAGGCGGTGACCTGCAACACGCGGAGCCCTTCAGGGGCTCTTCCGTCATGAGCCTGCCACCCAGAAGCTCGAAACAGTGGAATTTTTGGGCTTAGGGCTTAGGGCTTAGGGTTTAGGGTTTGGGATTAGGGTTTAGGGTTTAGGGTTTAGGGTTTAGGGTTTGGGTCGGCAACTTCCTGCATGTTTTCGGCGCTACGCGTGACACCTCGGGGCCCAGAACTCAAAAAGCTTCTAAGCCTTATAAGCCCTAAACCCTAAACTTGAAGTCCTGAACCCTAAACCCCAAACCCAGACTGGGTGGGCACTGGGAGGTTTCTTGGGGGTTCCTGGCAGAAGCTCCTAACCCCAACCCCGCTGTAGCCTGAAGCTCCGCGAATAGGGTCCACGGCTTCAGTTTCAGTGCTGACACTGAGGCTTATTCAGGTCCTCAAGCTCAGGGTTTGAGAGTGTCCTAGAGAGAGGGACACTCTTGCGACTCCAGCTACAGATAAGGGGCTCATCATCATAATTGGTAACCTGGACTCTAAACTCTAAACCTGCAGCATAGGGCCCTTGCTTTCGATTGTATAGATACGCAGGCAGTTGCATCCTGAAAGACAATTCCGTAAACCCTAAAGGCCGAAACCCCTGAAACCCATAATTCCTAGACCCTAAAGCCAACCCTCAACCCTCAACCCTCAGCCCTAAGCCCTAAACCCCAAACCCTAAGCTCTAGCCAGCCCCTAAGCCACCGAAGCTTTTCTGAAACTTCCAGACCCGAAAACTCTAAATTAGGGTTTAGGGTCTACAGGGCTTATAGGGTTATTCGAGTTTATAGTGTTTACAGGGTTTAGAGGGTTCATAGTTTTTCTGTTTTTTTTAATGTTGTTTATAGGGTTTTATACGGTCTGAATAGTTAACTAAACTGGCCCCAAACCACCGTTTAGCTGTACATACCAAGTAGGGTTAGGAGAGCAGATTCGGATGACTGATTGTATTTTGGCTCAAGGAAAATAGGCGTGCCCGTTGTGCGTCTTTCCTTGTCTTAAGTACCTTTGTTGTACTTAACTGGTTAACAGCCTCAAGCTACGTGGTCACTTTGGTAGGAACGTAGGCAAAGCCGCGCGCCGCCATAGTGCCCCCTCCATAACCGCACACCTGCCTTGAGAGTGTGCTTGAAATTGCGCGACAGGAGCCGCTGGCCCTGCCTCATTCATACTTCACATCCAGCATTGTGTCGAGCCAGAGCCAGGCTCAGCAATTGCATTCACTTCACCTGCAAGCCACCGTTGGGCTTTCCACGTGGCATTCCATATCTCGAAATCTTCGATCGTGCATGCAAAGCACTGAGCCGGAAGAGCATTACGCAACACACCTCCACATTTGGGTTCATTTCATTAAGGCCTTGCGTGAGAAACGCATCACGCGTTTGTTGATTGCTCATCCGCTAAATTGGTGGAGAAGGTTCGTGAGTAATCTTCTTGCTAATCACTACAGAGAGGTATCGTTTGACTGGCAGCTTAGGGTCCTTGTCCGTGCTTTAACGTACGCCGACGATAGGTGGGTCCCTAGATTGCCTCAATACTTTCCGTGACATCCAGGTACATCGTGTGGCTGCGCCTCTCCGCTGCGGTGTCGAGGTGCTCGCCTCTCTTGCCCTGGTTGGTTCTGACTTTCGGACTTCACTTCAAACATTCCTGAACATCTTGCCTTTGTACCCTCTCCTGTGAACCCGTGCACGGTTTAGGGAGGCTAGGCCTTGTGGGTACCCTAGGCGTCTGACGAAGCATCACTGCATCACCGTGTGCTTCGCCTCGAACTGCCCAAACAGCAGGTTCAGTTCAGACTTCGATCTTCGCGTGGTTTGTGGTCTCCCTTCGGGTTGAGACTAAGCCCATCACTCCGCCAACAGCAAACCCACAGTGCCGTCGGCTTGACCACGCACTGTGAACGCAACATCGGACAAAGTCCCAATCCCTAAGAGGTTTCAGGGTCAAAGCAAAGAGAGTCGCGGGTCTTCCCCACTCTCATCCGTGTGCATTGGCTCAGACAGCCGGTTGAGTGCGTGTCGTTAGTTGAAAGACCTGCATTGCCCCAATATCCCATCTGAGGAATCCCGGCAAGGTAGTCAAGCTCAGGCACTCTGCACACATTCTTCTGGCCACTTTCTAGGCTTGTTGGGGTCGCCGCCCGAATTAGGCTTAGAGGGGTCGCCGCCCGAATCAGGCTGTGCAATTGTCTCTGGTACCATGGGTTGGAACGATTTTTTGCAGGCGTGGGAACGCGTGACCTCTGAAGAGTCCTTTGTGGAGCGTGTGACTGCTGCTTTTTCCAGGGCCACGAACTCGCCTGCGGTCAAAGGCTCGTCTGAGTTCCGTCGGAGGAAAGCTGTCCTCTTGGTGGTCATCCGTGCGCTGGTGCAGCTTCTCATCGGTACTCAGCAGCAGTCTGGGGCCATACGGCTGGTCCGAACTCGAGAAAGAGAGCTCGAGGGCACGGAGGCATTGCCATATCATCCTTACGCTACGTTCGTCGAGGATACCCTGGAAGAGGTCAGAGGAGTGCTTCAGGCACCTTCGCCGGAGCCTGAGATACCGGCTCCGAGGACTCCTCCTGTCGCAGTGCGTTCCAGATCTCCGCCTCGTTCCTTGGTTGAGGGTTCTGACCAAACTCCGGTACCTCCTAGACCGCGACCGAAACATAAGGGTGATCGAACCCCTGCACCTCCTAGGGCACGACCTAAACATAAGGGTAATAGAACCCCGGTTCCTCCCAAGGCAAGTACCTTGCCCGGAACACCAGGTCCGTCACGTGCACCGGAGGCTGCAGCAGATCTTCTTGTGTATCGTCCCAAAGCAAAGGCCCGACCCGAGTCCAGACCACCGCAGGACTGGGAGTTGGACGAAAGAGAGTATCCAACCATAGCGGATTCGTTCAGGGTACAGGTTGAATTGGGACAACACTCAGATAGAGAAGCCATAAACCGGTGGACTACTGAAGAGTGGAGAGAGCATAATCAGGCGCTCTCATCTTCTTCTTCTGCCGCGCCGCGTGTTGCACCTTTGGAAGTGGTCGAAGTGCGTGAGGACATCCCTGTCCTGATTTCATTGGATTTCAGCGGGGTGCTCAACATCCACTTTCAGGACAGCCGAGATTTTTTGGACCGTTTGAACGCAGAGCGTCCGAGCCACGTGAAGCTGAAGTTTATTTGCACGAGTTACTCTGGGACAGAACGGGCCAAAGAAACGCGTCAGTCGATGGCTTCGGAGCTTCCGGGCGTGCCAGTCTACATCACTAGCTCTCCAACGGGCCGTCCTGGAAAAGGAGCCTTCATTAAGCGTTTGATGGACCGGCGGTCGGATCACTTTGCGTGTCATTTGGATGACAGATCAGACATCGTGCGGGACGTCGAGGCGTATGGTGTTCACGGTATTTTGGTATCGCCGAATACGTGGCTGACTGATCTCGTGCCCACTGTGTTGTTGTGGCTGCGGTCCCTGTAAAACGCTAAAAGAGAGCTGCTGACCTTCAGGGGAACCTGGGGTTTCTATTGCCTGGCACCATGGCGATGAGTCCCGAAACTACTGATTCCTCGCTCCAGGTGTCCACTTCCAGCACGCCGCCTACACAACAGGCGCGGGCACTCAGTGCTGTAAGGGCACAAGAAGCAAGGGTAGGAGAGAGCAGTAGTGATTCCACTCCCGTAAGAGCCGTTTCAACCGGAAGGGGAAGGTCCTCTCAACCCTATGCCTTAGCTAGTTCCCGAAATCGCTCTTCCTCCTCTAGGATGCAAGCTTTGTTGCCTCCGCCAGCTTATGCATGTGAAGTTGCAAGTCCTGCACCAGCAAGTCAACCTGTTTCGCTTGCACCGGGCGATGGGACAACCACCCCGGATGTGCACTTGCATCAGCATGTTCAGCGCATTGCCCCAGAGTTGCACCTGCATCAGAGTCGTCAGGAATTGCATCTTCATGGGGTTGATTCCCGAACACATTCTCAGGCCGTTGCTGCTGCACAGCTGGCACAAGCGCAAGCACAAAACATTCAACAGGACGCTTTCAGCATGAAGCTCAGGCATACGTGCAGGTTGCAAAGAGTGAGGCTCAGGCATATGTTCAGAGCGCTGTCACTTCTGCTCAACATGAAGCCATGCAGCACGCACAAGAGTATGCAGAGCGCGTTAGGGCTGAAGCTGAGAGACAGGTCCAGAGTGTTTCAGAACAAGCCGGTCAGCATCTTGCACAAGCAAACGAAACCATTGCCTCACTTCAGGCTAGGAATCGTGAGCTTGAGGAGCAGCAGGAAGAAATGATGCAGCGGATTGCGATGATCCAAGCTGAGATGCAAAGCATCAAAGCTCAACAACAGTCCCAAGCCGACACGTCCCACCTTCACGCAGAGCGAGTGTCGCAGGCCTCAAGGGCTCAGGACCAAAATGGCACGGAGATCAGTGAAGCCCTCAAGGCCTTGGCTGCAAGTGTTGGTGAGACAATGAAGGAGTTGCGAGAAATCGTCAGTCCCAAAGCATCCAAGCCTAAAAGCAAAGCGAAAGGTTCGGGGCTCCGAAACGGGACACCCTCCCCTAAGCATAAGAGTCCAAAGGTCTCAGCGACTCAAGGTCAAAGATCTGCTGGTGTGGCTGCTGCGCCTGTTCCAAATCGGTTTGGATGCTTCTGCGCACCCAGGTTGCCAGTTTTCACCGGTGTTGGTTTGCCGGCTCCGTCTAGATCCAAGAAGGGTTCTTCGAGTGACAATCCCTTCAACGTCTTCTCCACTCCCAAACCTCCTTCAGTCGTGCATCCCCCAGACCCTCCGATGCACTACGACATCGGGTCCGAACACGAGGAAGGTGAGGAGGAAGAGGAGAGGGAAGATGACCCCATCATTGATGTCACCGATGCACCGGGGGAAGAAGAAGTAGACTATGAGCAGGATACTTACCACAACAAAGATCTTCGAGACCTGAAAATCCCTGCACTTCCTTCGACAGCCGCGGGATATCGAGCATGGAGGAACGGCGTTTTGACATCGTTCAGCAGCATAGACAAGAGTGGGAACGCCAGGATACTGAG